ACACCTGAATCCCATGTCTTTCATGAGTCTCCTCGTGGTGGTTCTTGAAGCGCTGACTCCAGCTGCAGTCCACTCTTTGTGGATCTCCCCCACATTTTTGAATGGGTTTGTCGTCACAATTCTCTGCAGGGTGCGGTTATCCCTAGAGCTTGTACACTTTTTTCTACCACATTTTTTCCGTCCCTTCGCCTGTCTGTTAATGTGCTTGGACACAGAGCTCTGCGAACAGCCAGCTTCTTTAGCAATCACCTTTTGTGTCTTGCCCTCCTTGTGCAAGGTGTCAATGATTGTCTTTTGGACAGCTGTTAAGTCAGAAGTCTTCCCCATGATTGTGGTGCCTTCAAAACAAGACTGAGGGACCTTTTAAAGGCCTTTGCAGGTGTTTTGAGTAAATCAGCTGATTAGAGTGGCAGCAGGTGTCTTCTATATTCAGCCTTTTCAGAATATTCTAATTTTTTGAGATACCAAATTTGGAGTTTTCATTAGTTGTCACTTATGAATATCAAATTTAACTGTAATGAACATTGGAAATACATTGGTCTGTGTGCATTGCATGAATATAATGTACAAGTTTCACGTTTTGAATGGAATTACTGAAATATTTTCAACCTTTTGATGATATTCTAATTTACTGGCCAGCACCTGTATATATATACATATATATATATATATATATATATATATATATATATATATATATATATATATATATATATATATATATATATATATATATATATATATATATACATATATATATATATATATACATATATATATATATATATACATATATATATATATATATACATATATATATATATATATATATACATATATATATATATATATATATATATATATATATATATATATATATATATGTATGTATATATATATATACATATATATATTTGAAGAAAATATATATAAAATATTTGTGTGTGTGTGTTTTTTTTCCTCCAATATCTATTATATTTATAGCTATAGTATGGGTGTGTCCGAATCCACAGGCAGGATGCTTATGAGTACGGGTCTTTGCCGGTCTAGCAAGGTCGGGTCCTTGCTCGACCGCTAAAACCGGAAGTCAGCGGCTCTGAATTCGGACAGTCTAGCCTTCACCTCTACGGTGACCCGTAGGTCCCGTCACAGCCGTGGCGGCAGCTAAATGCAAAGGAAAAATGCTAAAGCTAGCGAAAATGGAGCAGGGATATTAAGGAGCTACAGCAGCTTCACGTCCATCAGCAGCGTTTGTTCACAACCGTTTTCAGGTAAAGTAACTTTGTTTACTCTAGAAGCTTTCAGGACTTACATGCTAACTTTAGATGGTTTCATGTATGTTTTAAGCTACAGAATGAACTTGTTAAATGTACACAACACATTACTACTGAGTATTATCGTGTAGGTAATTAATATAAACCAAATGCATTATAAATGTTGAATGCAGTCGGATGTTTTCTAATTTAAATTGGACCTTAGAACTTATTTTGCATCAAATGGTGGTAAAACATTTAGAAAAACAGGCTTTTTAATAAAATAGCATTGAAGTGTTCTCCGTGTGCATTTGTTTATTCAGCTTAAGCCTAATAATGATTAGATCTGTCTTAAAAATGTAAATTCTCTGTAGTTTTTATTTAACTATTCCCTGCTGCTTTTCTTTAAACTGAACAGAACCAGTGTACTGCAGGTTATGGGTTTGTTTTACATTTTTCTATAAAAAAAAACAAACTTTTATTTAATCTATTACAGGTCAGCATGCACTGTGCTGCACATCTGCCTCTGTGCTGGTGAAGTTGTGGGTCTGGAGGATGAGCGTGAGGAAGATGTGTGTGGAGGAGGTACCAGCAGACCACCACTGCTGTTAACAGGCAAGTCATTTATGTAGGAACCTCTATTAAAAACAACACTGTGGTTTTATTTGCTGAAGAGTCACAATTGTTATACCAGTGGATCCATAAACCATCTCCTCATTTCATATTTCTGAATACATCTTAGAGATGTAACAGCCGTCGTCTGAGCCAGCCCAGCAGTCCCTGTAGATGGACGATGGAGTGGACAGTGAGAGGAAGCGTCCCAAAGCTCTCTGCAGACCGTCCTGTTTGATGTTCCTCTGGCCAGAAACGTCCAGCCACGGGTCTGCTCCAGCCCTCCATCCACGTCTGGATCCTCCTGCAGCAGATCCAGCTGCACTGATAAAGACTTCCTGCTCACTCAGTTTAAATAAATGATCCAGGAAGAGTCACTCAGGTTAATCCTGCTTTAACCGTACAAAACTGGTCCATACCGGTTTTGATCTGTAAATAAGTGTAACGTATTATAAATAATCTTGTCTCCTTACCATCTTTTCATTTTCTGTTCATGTAACATGTTCAAAAACATCTGTAATAATAAAATTGGTGATAAAATCAATGACCAGAAAGAGTTATCAGTTATTATTTGTTTAAATAAATGTGTTCACATATCAAACAGCTAAATAACATTAACATGATGACAGTAGAAGGTCTCTCTCCCAGGAGGACCACCAGGTAAAGCCTCTTCTGACCCTGGACACCTGCAGTCCTACAGAGAAAATCAGACCACAGGTGACAAAAAGGCAATAAACACATTTTTACATTTATCCACATGAGAAGATAAAACTTTTATTCTTCACACAAACTTTTTACTTCATTATAACGTGTCAGCGGTGTAAATCCCTGAATGTAAAACTACTTTTCATAGCAGTACTTCTGTGGCTGTGTGTGTAAACAGCTTCACTCTTCAGCTCTAAGCTTAATAAAAGCGCTTCTTTGCTCCGTTGTCCTTAAAACAAATGATAAGTTTAATTCGCTACACACACACACACACACACACACACACACACACACACCAACGTGAATAACTGGGACCCGTGAAACAAACTCGTTCTGGCTGATTTCTGCCTAAAATGTAATTTAAAAAACAAATATACAAACGAAAAATGTCTGTAAACAGAACCGCTTTAAGTTTTTTAGTTTTCTACGGCTAGTTTTAACAAACTTACGTTTAAAACTTCGTAGCTCTCCCCATTTTCTCTTCCTGTTGAAAATCCACAGCCGGCGTGCAAAGCATGCTGAGATAGCCTTGTTCTGTGAGGATATATCCAGAATTACTAATTCTGGTTATAGAGATCATACAACTCTATTATTCTATAATTCCAGATTGCTCAAATTTTTTGACTTAATTCAATTTAAAACTGCCCTAGTACCGTATAGGGCCATGATGGGTGTACTACCGGGTAATTTGCAAAGGATGTTTAAAACTCATGAAGAGGGTTATGAATTGAGAGGCGTTAAAAACTTCATTTTTCCATTATACCGAACAACTATGAAAAGTATGTGTGTATCTGTGTGTGGTATCAAACTGTGGAACAAACTTGATGTGACTTCAAAATTATGTAAAAACATTAGATCATTTAAAATGTTGTATAAACAACTTATAATTGACTCATACATAAATAGCAAGTGATAAAAATGGTAATTGGCTTCAAATGGAATATTTTGGTTTTGTTGTTTATTGGTTTTGTTTTCTTTTTCTGTAGATTCATGTGAACAATTGTTTTGTAACTGTCTTTTTATGTAGCAAGGTGAAGATAGAACGACCTGCATAAAGAAAAAGTTTTTTTTTCTTTCAAATTTGCTAATGTGAGCAAATGTGATTTATTAACTGAATTGGGGCTGGACTAGATAAGCCTTTGCTTCTTCCAGTTCCCTCTCAAATGGTTTTATGTTATTGTATGTTTTGTATTGTTTCATTCAACAGCATATGTTTATCGTATTCCACATTTTTAAATTTTTTTATGCACCAGGAATATGGGGGAGTGCATATGCAATTTGATGTTTTCGATGGTTTGAGATAAATAAATAAAATAAAAATAAATAAAATAAATAGCCTTGTTCTGTGAAGATACGACAGATCCGTCCTCGAAATGTGGGCGGAGCGAGGACGCGTTTGAGGACGCAAGAATGAGTATTGTTGGAATTCAGCTGGTACTCGTCGCTGCGCTGTGACGTCATGGACCTGAAAATGCACTCTTACAAGCATCCTTCCCGTGAATTCGGACACACCCAGCGTCAAGAGTTTTGTTACAAAGCATGAACAAATGTTTGTTTTGCAGATTTGCCATTGTGACTTTAAATCATTTACTTGAAAAAAGGAGCTCTATTTGTTTTGGCCTGGCTATATATTTAACATACGGTATGTAGGATAGCTTGTCAGGGGAGGTCTTACTCCATATTGTCATATACATTTATTTATTTATTTAAAACTGTGACTGATAAAAAAAGGGCTTTTTTTGTCTCCAGCTTTTAAACACAATAGGTAGTCAGGTCTTCCTCCACAGCTGTAAATAATTGGCCAATAGCATTCTTTAAATGATAAAAGTTCTTTCAGAAGTTAAGAAAAATGTGTATTTTTGTTGATTATTTGCATTGGATAGCAAACCAGAACATACTTTGTTCCCTCCTTGCAGATCTTGACCTTTAATCTCTGAAAATAAATGTTTGCTGACGGTGTGTTAAATATCAGGCGTTGGGTTTCATCCTCCTCAGCCAGATTTGTTTGTGCTCGCACGCGTCCATCTCCATGTTGTCATGAGGACCAGACTCCAAACCAAGCCCGCGTGCGTCGCACAAACACCAAACTCACCATCCATGACTGTTCCAGACGAGTTTCTGCATGCATTACAAGAGTCACTGATGTGTTCGCATCTCACACCTCCTCCTCATCTCTTTCTTCTCGTCCCTCAGCGACTTCGAGACCAGATCAAGACTTGGGTGGCATCCAATGAAATCAAAGACAAGAGGCAGCTAGTAGAAAACCGCAAACTCATAGAAACGGTGCGTCGGAGCTCGTGGCGTGCCCGCTGTGATGCTGGGGGCTCATTAGGATATCGTTATTCAAAAACCAAATGTTTCTGTGTTTTTGTTATTGCAGCAAATGGAGAGGTTTAAAATAGTGGAACGAGAAACCAAGACAAAAGCTTATTCTAAAGAAGGGCTCGGTCTGGCCCAGAAAGTGGACCCGGCGCAGAGGGAGAAGGAGGAGGTCGGCACATGGCTAACGGTGAGCTTCAGAATAAAAGACCGGTCGGGACAGAAGTTGTTTTGTGCTGTACTGTTTTAAAGTAACCAAACGGATGAAAGGGAATTTTCAGAAGTTAATCACTAAAACATCATGTTTGCTGGTTTTTTATGACTAGTGTCAGACGGTTACTCATTAATGTGTTAGAGAGCAGAAATGTCAAACATTTGCTTATTTTTTTTTAGATTTTCTGTCTAAAATAAACACTTTCCAAAACTTTTAGAAAGCCTAAAATTATAATAATGTTATATGTAGACCTGCAAGGAAGTTTAATGCTTTAATTTTCTTGGCTGTTGGGTTTCTCCAACAGAAATCCCAAGTGCCAAACATGTAATTCATGCTCTTATGTCCGAACTGTGGCCCTCAGTGGGGTTCTGTGCAGCCCCTGATTCCGTTTCTACCGGGCTGTTCATGTAGACTGAACGTTTCTATAAGACTTTTACCAAGAAGCTCATTCTAGGCCTGTTTTTACATAATGCAAAAATATATAGAATTTTTTATATATTGAATAAAATCTCAATTTTGCTGGCCCTCTGGGATGAGTTTGGCCCCCCTTGCTGTAATGTAACGTAATGAATGAATGTTGCTTGAAATTTACTTAAAACTCCAATAAAGGAACACATTGTTTAGTTTATGAAGCTCTAATGTTTACTTTTCCCCCTCAGAACACGATAGACATGTTGAACATGCAGGTGGACCAGTTTGAGAGCGAAGTGGAGTCTCTCTCCGTCCAGACGAGAAAGAAGAAAGGAGACAAGGAGGTCAGTCTGCTTTCTCCTGCTTTTACTCCCCTGCTGCCGTCTCGCTGCGATTTCATCTGCTCTGCTTTTATCTGACTCCCTCTCCTTTGTGGCAGAAAGGTCACATAGAGAACTTCCCATTCATCTTCTGTATTTGTCCTGACCAGGGTAATCTCACTGAGCACGTCTCTGTCTCTCTGAGGTCATCATCGATAGAAAACCTCTTGACAACACAGCGTGGTCATTTTAAGGATTCCTATCGTACTCCAGCTCTGTGAGAAGTGTTACTTATCTCTAGTGACAGTGAAAGGCTCTGCTGCACAAATATTCTCTGGAATATGAATTAGGGCTGTCGCGGTAACCGCAAAAATGAAATATCGCGATATGAAGAAGCCCACCGCGCTGCATCATGGGCCACCGCGATTACTGAACTTGGTTCAACTCAGTGATGCATGTTGAGAAGGATGGCTGCACTGGTATCAAAACGAAACGTTACTTCGCTCCTGTGGGAGCACTTTGGTTTTCCGTACGTCAGCTGCTGGCAGCCAGAGTCCTTGGCCGAGACAGAGCTGCCACCAGCGGCAAATAAATAAATAAACAAACGCTCGGAGACCTGCTGAAGTCCCGGACAAGCACTGCTTCTGCAACCGTCCTGAAGAGAGTTTGAGCCGAGCTGGAGCTCACTCGCTACCTGCAGGAGGAATGCATCCACCCTGAAGAAACCCCCCTGACATGGTGGAGCAACAACCGGGAGAGATTCCCTTTGCTCGCCAGAGTCGCACGCAGGTACGTGTGTGCTAGTGCAACGAGCGCACCATCCGAGAGGGTTTTCAGTGTTGCTGGAAATGTTGCCGCCCCTCTCAGATCCTCTCTGAAACCGTATATGGTTAACATGCTGGTTTTCCTTGTAGGTAACAAGGACGTGACCGAGCTATAAATCACCGTCATTCATGTGTGTGAAAGTGAAATGATAGTGTGCCCCGCCCCCCGGCGCGCGCGCGCCCGGTACATGTAATTTTTTATGCTTGATTTTAAACAACTAAACAAAATGGGGACTTGTTTATTATTTGTTAGATGCTGCAGCCAAATTTGCAATTAAAAGTTTAACCTTATCCTGAATTTTGTTGTTTTTAAGTTCAGTCGGACTCCGACTGTCGGAGAAACAAGCGTTACTGCGATCTGTGTTGTTACTGCCCTTTGATCTGCATTCAGTAAAGCGTTATTAAAGAAGGCACGGCAATTTTTAACCTTTTTTAAATGTGTAAACATTATGTTTAGATAGTACTGCAATAAAAAAAAGGGCTGCAATAATATCGCACACCGCAATATTAAGCCACCCTGAATCACCGCAGGGGGAATTCCTCAACCGCGACAGCCCTAATATGAATTCTGTCTTGTTCTATAAATGAGACCCAGGAGGGTTTATTGTTTCTGCTGCTTCTGCTGTTAGCTTAGCCAACCAAATGCTCCCTTTTAAGGAAGTCATTAAGATCTGAATTATAAAGATGAAAATAGTCTGGGAAGTCTGCGTATCCCTTTTTATTAGTGATTTAAAGTTAAGTTAAAGTCCCATTAGTTGTCACACACACTGATGTGTGTGCGAAATTTGTTCTCCGCATTTGACCCATCCCCTGGGGGAGCGGTGAGCTGCAGACAAGCCGCGCTCGGGAACTATTTGGTGGTTTAACCCCCCAATCCAACCCCGTAATGCTGAGTGTCAAGCAGGGAGGCATTGGGTCCCATTTTTTTCTAAGTCTTTGGTATGACCCGACCAGGAATCGAACCCTGATCTCCCAGTCTCAGGGCGGACACTCTACCACTAGGCCACTGAGAAAGGTCATGAAACACACTTTCTTGACAATCCTTCTTTTTTTGTGTAGAAAAGTATAAAAAGAAAAGATGATCTGTTTGAACGCGGGAACGACCGGGTAGGCGTGTTCTGTGTGAGCGGTTCTGCTACATTTGGGTCTCAGTGCTGCTTCAATAGTGTGCTACCAGCTGAAACTCAAACTGAACTCAAAAATTGTCGGACAGGTGGAAAATTGTTCCAAAATGGGTCAAAAATTTTATATTTTAATAATAATATATTATAAAATGTATTTTGTAAACAACAAGAAAAAACATCTCCTGTTGCACCTTTAATTTTAAGTTTTAGCTTTTTTTTTCTTTGATGAAAGGAGTTGAAAAATAAAGGTTTTTAATCTATTTTATGCTATTAATAAAAATAATGTGCTGATCTCATTATGGTTCTTACTGGGGAGATTTTTTCTAATTAGTGGGAATCGTGACAACATCTAAAAACCCCATAATGTTAATCCATCTGGGCTGTGGAGCTATGAAAGTAATAAAACACATCATTAAGCTGCATCGTTGCACCCAGTGACATAGCATGAACACACACACGCACGCACGCACACACACACACACACACACGCACGCACACACACACACACACACACACACACACACACACACACACACACATATCAAATATGTATTAATATCTAGTTTTATGTTCTGTTTTCAACAAAACAACAGAAAAGACACGCCCAGATCCAAATGTATAAATTTCCATCTTTAGAAAAAGACAATAAAATGCTGATCAGAATTACTGGTTTTTATTGAAGTGGGTCGCTGTTATAAACCTCATCTTTTCAAGTGCTGTTCATTTGGTTACACAATAGTTTAATACTTTTGGTTCCCTGTGTTATGTAAAATACATTTTTATGTACTGAAAGGCAAAATAACGTTTAGATTTCACAGTGGGACTGAGGAACAAGCGTTTATATTGTTGTGGCTGGTTTAGTTTTCACTGTTTCCTGTTAATTATTATTTTAATTATGTACACTTTTGACTTGTTTATCCTAAAATATAATAAATATAAAAATATTATAAAAATGTTTCATTTATTGTGTGCAGGTGCTCTTTTGTTTACCAGAGACTCTTTATCAAAGTGCAGCAGTGGAATAATGGTTTAATTTTAACCTGTAATGAGTAATGAGCTTCAAAAATATAGTATTTTTATTATGGCGTGTCATTCCAGCCCACATTAAAGGTGCAATTTGTAAGAGTTTTACAGTGAAATAATCACAAAACAGTCTAAATGTCGGTCATGTTGGAAGAAAGGTTGCACTGAAACAGATTTCCTACTCAGCCGGCTGGGATGTTGTCAGATTTTCCAAGAAAACAAAAGCAGGATGTAGTCACAGTTTAGCTCCAGGGCAGGCATTTTTTCATTATTATGCATTTTGTTTGATTATTAATGGCGCTCCAGATGTGTTTAGTTTTCTCTATAAAGCCTCGAATGGAAAGAAAAATTTTACAATCCCTAAACTCATAGATTATGTTGAAAGTTAATGGAGGAAGGTAAGGGGCACACCTAGCAACAACTGATGCTTTTAGGGGCTTATAAGAACTCATATTTTTAAAACCATGTTGTCTGTTGTTGCATTTGTATTGAGTAATCAGAGTAACACACAAACCTGTTTTTTCTGGTTGTGCAGAAGCAGGACCGGATCGAGGAGCTGAAAAAGTTCATCGAGAAGCATCGGTACCACATCCGGATGCTGGAGACGATACTGAGGATGCTGGACAACGACTCTGTACAGGTCGATGCCATCAAGAAGATCAAGGTTAGTTTGTTTGACTGTCTGTGGTTGGTCATTGAGTGTGTTTACATGCAGCAAGTAACCCTTTTAAAACCCGAATATTCACAATAACCCGGTTCCGCAGTTCATGTAAAAACCCAGATATGCTCATAACCAGGTTTTTAAAAACCCGGTTACTACACCTGGGGTAACCCTTTTCTAACCCGAATGTTTGGTCGTGTAGACGCATATCGGGATATCCCCATCAAAGCGTGTGTTCTGCGCATGCTCTGTTCACAAGGAATCTTGGTCTTTTGAGTAGCGAGACGTCTTGTATGCGCCAGAACACCGGAAGTAAACAACAAGTTGGGAGCAACATGGCGAGTCGCGGCACAGCACCACACTTTTGGAGTGACGAGGAAACTAAAGCGCAAACAAATGCGGTCGCTATCTCTTCCGAACTGGGAAACATGTTGTTGTTTTCACGGATACCGGAACAAGAAGAACCGGGAATGACGCATATTGCGTCTGGACGTAGTCCATACGTCCTGACGCTACCCCAACGTCCGCATTTAAATCGGGTTATGCAAGTTAGAGGTAACTCTTTCTGTTTATGCTTGTAAACGGGTTATTCTGATCAACTCAGAAACCCGAATACCGACCTTAACCCGATCATAACCCGGATATTGGCTGCATGTAAACGTACTCATTATTGTTTCTCCTCTGCACAGTTTGTACTGAAGATTCTTCTTTCCACAGGATGATGTAGAGTACTACATCGACTCATCGCAGGACCCAGACTTTGAAGAGAACGAGTTCCTCTACGATGACCTGGACCTGGATGACATTCGTACGTAGAGGAGTCGGAGACTAAGCACATGTTTTAAAAAGATTTTTATTGTTAATCAGAAATCATCTGTTTGTAGAATCAACAGGGAGACATGATAGTCACTAATGGATCTTTTGTGTCACTTTTTAAGAACAATTTAGGAGCAAAACAAACTACAGAAACTTAATTTTGCAGTGTAGCTGGTTACAAAATAGAAAAATACATAATAATTTACTTTTGTGTCAAAGTATATGAAGGTTTCTTCCCAAAGAGGGATCGATTCAGTTCTTGCATCAACTTTGATTAAAACAATAAAAATATTGGATGGATGGAAGAAATACAGTTGCACCACAATATGAATTTTATTTTAGAAATTACTTTTTAATTCTGTTTTGATGTTTTAAAATTTTTTAGCTTAAGATGCACCATCAAAATTTAATCCATAAAAAATCCACATCTGAGGTGACGTCCTGCTGACCCGAGCCAAAGCAGTCGTCGCTCAGTCGAGTTGACACCTCACTGGTGTCGCATGATCAGAGAAGCATAATTTGACTGGCTGAACGCTACGTGACTCGATCGAGTGACACATTCTTTAGCTTGGGTCACCAGGTGAAGTCTCACATAATTAAAATTCAGTGTCCAAAGAAAAGTCATTCTGGTGAGGCTGGAGTTCATCCACAGATATGATTACGGGGATTAAATCCTGCTTCTGTCCCTTCCAGCTCAGTCGCTGGTCGCCACCTCTCCGCCGGGGCACTCGCACCTGGAGGACGAGATCTTCCAGAACTCCAGCAGCACACCCACCTCCACCACCTCGTCCTCCCCCATCCCCCCTTCACCTGCCACTTGCACTACAGTAAGAAAATCTGTGCAATAACAAAAGAAAAAGCAACTTCCTTATTTCTATTGATTTTCTTCCTGGCCTTTCTTTGTTCTAATTGTTATGACAAGTGCGATATGAACCCTTTAAAATGAACGTATCAGCTTCTTTTTGCACCAAAACTACCACCTGATGATACCTCCATTAACGAGAGAGGCTTGTCTCAGCAACAAAGGTAATCAGGAGAAATTAAATCAGGTTTTTCATTCTGTTCAGGTCGAGCGAGGAAGATAATTGCTATTGTTACTATTGTAAGGCCCTGCCATCTGCTCTCGCTGGTGCCTTTATAATATCTGCTCTTCCTCTCTGCCCACACGCAGCAAGTAGTGAGTTATTATGGGTCTGATACCTCACAGAGAACAATGAAACACCTTCTCTTTAAGAAGTTTTTCTCTGGCGTGAAAGGAAATGTAAAGGATGTAGGTATCAGTGTTGCACCAGGCTCACAGAAGGTTTAGTTCCCGAAGTCTAACTTGCCCAGAAAACGAGCGTCGGTGTTTTTATGAAGTAAAAGTGGTTTGGGTTCCAAATATTTAGAAGATTAGTTGTTCAGCTTACATTTGCCCAGGATCTCTGGAGACTGTTGCCTGATATGACGGTGGCACAGGAGTTAAGTGCTCGCCCCGTAAGCAGAAGGTTGCAGGTTTGAGCCCCGCTCAGGTTGTCACTGTCATTGTGTCCTTGGGCAAGACACTTAACCCACGTTGCCTGCTGGTGGTGGTCGGAGGGACCGGTGGTGCCAGTGCTCGGCAGCCTCGCCTCTGTCAGTACGCCCCAAGGGCAGCTGTGGCTACATTGTAGCTCATCCCCACCAGGGTGTGAATGTGTGTGTGAACTGGTGAATGACTGATTGTGTTGTAAAGTGCCTTGGGGGGTTCCAGGACTCTAGAAGACGCTATGTTAAATGCAGGCCATTACTGTAAATCCCACGTTAAAAAGCCAGGGGTGTTTTTTTTTTTTTGGGGCCATGGTTCCGTCCATCTAAGATGGCTCGCTATGGTGAAGCCATATCTCCCTCTGAATCCAGGGGATCCACTTTTATTCCCTGTAGACTAGATTACTGCAACTCCTTACACTGTGGCCTTAACCGGTCATCCATTCACCAGGTCCAGAATGCTGCTGCCCACTTGTTAACACACAGAGGACGTAGGGAGCATGTCACTCCAGTGCTGGAGTCTCTTCACTGGCTTCCTCTATCTTATGGGATCTAGTTTAAACTGGAGTTTTTAAGTTGCTGAATGGTTCTGCCCCTTCTTATCTATGTGAGCTTTTAACCGTTCATGTCCCTGCAAGAGCTTTGAGATCTGGTACTTAGAATCTTCTACTGGTCTCCAGAGCTAAGCTGAAGTCCCGGGGTGATGGGGATTTTTCACTGGCAGGACCACGACGGAACAAATGTTAGGGCTGCTCAGACTCTTGAGTAATTTTAAAACTTTGCTAAAGACTAATTTTTATGAGCTGGCTTTTAATTAGGAACAGATGTGGTATTTTTTACCTACCTCTACCTCTTAAATTATTTCTGACCCATTTTTATCAAGGAGTGTCTTAAACCTTTTATCTCGCCTGTTTTAACGTTGTTTTGTATTTGAATTTAGTCGTCGCGTTCTAATTTTTATTACTGTGTTAAAATGGTGTTGTGAAGCACTTTACTAATAAAACTGACCTTGACCTCTTTGCTTCCCCTCCGAAGACAGCTGTTATGACGCCAACACCAAAGGCAAAATTCTTCTCCCTTTCTTGTGTTTTTTATTGGCGGTAGTTTAGCTGAAAAAGCTAACTACTAGCCTTTATAAGAGTTACTACCACAGTAAACTGCGATAAGACCTCCCACTAGTATTCCTACCCAAACCACAAAACTGTTTAGTGCCGTTTCTGGTCAGCAGTGGGCAGCAGAGTGCCGTCCAAGGTGAAGTTGGCTAAGTTTCTGCCTCAAGAACCACTGAAACCAGTTTAAAGCAATGGCTTAAGGAGTATCCCTTAAGAGGATATTTTTCCATAATCGTTACAAAGTATGAAGTTATTTATCTTCAATAAAGAAGGATTTCATATAAACAACATTAAAACAAGAGTTGAAGTTGTTAGTTCATCGAATTGTAAAATCCGAAAAATTCTATTTTTCTTTATTGTTTTTGCTCGTTTTCTAACAGCAGGTGTGAAGTTTATACTTTAACTGGGAGCTAATTTCACGTTCTACTTTCCTTCAGGAGAACTCAGAAGATGACAAGAAGAGAGGACGATCAACAGACAGTGAAGTCAGCCAGGTCAGTGTGGAAGCTTTGATGCTTCTTTACATCAGATCGGTTATTTCTTAGGAATAAACTTAAGTTGTTTTTTTGTCTGCATTTTAATCCAGTTTTAAATAATAAAAATCACAGATTTTGTTACTCCGTGGTTATTTTCTTTTATATTTCTCCAGTTTAATTTTAGAATTGTAGACAAAAAGGATTTTTTATTTGAAAGATTTCATCATAAAACAGTTTTAGACTCACGTAAAACTAAATATTTAATGACGCTTTTATTTGTCTTACAGTCGCCTGTAAAAAATGGAAATCCCTCCTCTTCGTTGTCTTCCTCTTCCTCGTCGTCCTCCTCCTCCTGCTCTTCTTCTTCCTCTTCCGTCTCGGGTTTGACCTCCTCCTCCTCCCTGGTCTCTATGGCGACCATCACTGGTGGAGGAAGCGGCGGGTCTGGGGGAAACATTCACCACAGCAGCATTTCCAACACTTCAGCTGGCAGCTACAGCAACGCCACCCAGCAGCCGCCTCATCCGTCGACGCAGCAGCAGGCCAAAAACTTAGTGAGCTCTTTAGCTCCTATCTCCAACTCCAGCGCGACCACCAACAGCCACGTCACCTCCTTGGCGTCCTCGCCGCCCGACGCCATCACGCAGGGGCTTTTCACGTCGAACTCCCAGCCTCTGGCTCCTTCGGGACTGACGTCGACCTCCAACAGCCTGGGCCTCAGTCTGGGGCTGTCTCTGGGAAAAGGTGGAATGTCGAGCTCCATCACAAACAGCTCGTTGTCGGGGGGCCTCGGCCTGTCAGGGATGCCGGCATCTCTGAGCACGATGGCGAGCCTTCTGTCCAGCTCCACCCCAACCCCCTACGCCCAGGCGGCCGCCTCAGGCACGGGCAGCTCAGGCCTACTGGGCTCTCTCGGAGGCGTCAGCACCACGCCGACCAACAACGCGATCGGCCCCATCGGCAGCGGGAGCATCGCCGTCGGCGGGCCGACGTCCTCAACAGGAGGCATGCTCAACGCAGCTCCCGGAGTGGGCAGCGTCGGCTCCGGGATTCTGGGTCTGGGTTCGGGCCAGTCAGGAGTCCAGGGGTCTTCCTTGGTGTCGCAGAGCCCTGTGGGAAGTTTAGCCCCAGGAAGCGGAGTGGGAGTTATCGGGAGCAACGGAGGCAGCTTAGGACTGGTGGGGAGCGGAGTCGGGGGAGGAAACTCATCACTGTCTGTCCGACCGCCGAGCCAACAGAAGCAGAACGGTAGCACCAGTAAGTATCTCATGTCCACTCAGGGTCTTAATGAACGTTATGACAGTCTTCAGGGGTTTTGGAGAAAAACGTGGAAGTCAGGAAGTATTTTAGGACACATTTTTACATTTAATTAACCGAACAAGTGTTTTTTAGAAACTTGAAACTAGTGTGGGTTAACTTTAGTGTCCAAGCACAGCGTCTTTGTTTTAATACAATCAATAAAAAAACAAGGCTGGAGCCTGAGGACAGTGTAGTACAAGTACAACACCTGAAGGTACTTGAAATTTTGAAAAAAAAAAAAAAAACATTCCTTAGTGATTCAAAGAGTTTACAGATCACATGGCAAGATCAGTTTCATGCAGCACTTAAAGTATATTTGACTCGTTTTACTTTACATCTTTTAGCTTTCACCAGAACATCAACATCAGAAATCACATCCTGAGTGGCGGCCAACTTCAGGATGTGATTCAAGTTCTTGTGTGAGCCTTGAGCGCAGCTTTGTCTTATTTATACTCGTTACAGAGAAAACTTGCTCACAAAGATAGGTTTATTTTCACTCTACATTGTAAAGTATGAAAATAAAGTTTACACAACCATCTCGTGGGCCAGATTGAACCCGCTTGCGGGCCGGATCCGGCCCGCGGGCCGCATGTTTGACACCCCTGGTCTAGACTGATAATTCACATGAGCCAAGAAAACCACGACGGAATCGATTTCCCAAGCTGGATCTGTTTGGAGAAGCTTAAAGGTTTTCCCACAAGTGTTGCTGAGCACATTTTATCCCTTCAACAGGTTACAGTGCTGTAGTAGCAGACAGCACAACAGACTCCGCCCTTAGCAGTGCCACCCAATCACAAAGCAGCCAATCCTCATCCCTGACTTCTACAGCCAATCACTTGTAAGTATATAGTCACATGTTAGTAAGCTAGAAGAACGAACACAAACAAGCCTGTTTGGTTGATATTTACGGAAGAGTTTTGCTTCACTTGAATTTGTTTTTTAAATTAGCTCGTTTTTTTCTGAATAACGCGATTTAGTGTGGGGGCCAGAAACCGCTGACCCTGGGGTAGCGTGGCACGTCCAGACGATCTGATGGGCCTGAACAGGCGCTAAGTGTAGGCGTTGTGTGCCCACAGAATCTTCACTTTGCTAAGACGTCAGTATATTGTCACGTTTTAGCAGAAAGTCGCGTCACTGGTCAGTGCTAAAAAGCGCCCACAGACATTCGTATCGTTAAATGTTTTATTCTGTCAAAGGATGTCGTAATTTAATCCATTCGGGGGACCGCTTTATATTACGGCGGGGGGTGTTCTGCTGTGTGTTTCTGTCTTCTGAGCCTAAAAGCAGTGATTTTACGCTCAGCCATCGCTGCAACTTAACGACTTTTTTCTAACGACTTCTTAGAACCTTTAAATGGCTTTTTCTCCAAAAGGCGCCTAGCGATCAATATTTCCTGCAGGTTAGCAAAAACTCTTCTCTGAACCGGTGTCGGTACAGGATCTGCTCGGGTACAAGATCGGCTCGGGGTCCTTCGACTGCCTATGACGTCAAAGTACGGCAAACCCACTCGGACAAAATACATTACACATCTATACTGTTGGAAAGAATTTAGCAGTTTCGTTATTAAAATAATGTTTATTAAGACGTAAGTTTGTGTTTATAATGGTATTTGTAAAATAAAACACTATATTGTATTCATAATGTTGAACTCCTCTTTGAGCACATCCCTTGAAGAATCATAGGTATTAGCAACACCTGTGAAATTGTATTTGCAGGAAAGAAGTGTGTCGCGTTTATTGAAGTATTTTGTGTTTAGAGTTTTTGACGTCTTGTCTAGTTCAGTTACGCTCATAGCTGCTAGCCAAAACTCTGGAGTTAAAAGTTTTCTGGCTTTACTAAAATACCTGTCTGTACTTATTTGATTGTTGGTAGTTTTACTTTCTATTAGACTCCAAATGTAATCATTTGGCACATTTCTAATTCATAATTTGTAAGAATGTAATCTGTGATATTAGCATTAGCATTCCTATGGGTTTTTCCATGTATATTAGCATTGCGCTAACCACTCGCTGCCAAATTGCAGCCTTTGCGATTAGAAAATCTCCTTTTGTCACATCGCAATTTAATTGCACATGCGGTTAATCGTTAAGCCCTAATGTACATGCAGCTCTATGCTAAAAGTGTATTTTCAAAGAGGTAATGATGGATTTCTTTGTAAAAGTTGTCCATCTTTCCAACAGAAAGATTTGCCTGGACCAACGTAACGTGATAACAACGTAACGTGATTACGTAATTCCGTAAGGTTCATGTTCAGCCAATCAACTACTTTGACGTCATCGGCAGTCGACGGACCCCGAGCCGATTTTGCACCCGAGCAGATCCTGTACTGACACCGTCCTTCAGATTATTTAGTATTATTTACTATCATATTATTGCAGCAAAACAGCTTTTTCTTTTTATATTTTGATACAAATAACGTCCTTCATCGGGGGAAACAGAGCTTTTTGTATTCCAGTTTCTCTGAAAAACAGATTTAAAATTATTTTAAAGTATTGTTAATTAACAAGTCAGAGCCTTTTAATTATTTTCATGTGAACGCACTTCACTTCGGTAAACATCCCATTTGGAAGTTATAATATTTTACCTGTCGTAGATAGCTTCCTGAACAGCCTCAGTTCGGAGGTCGACATGCTAACGGCTAACTTCAAACTGGAATCGTGACGTCGTAGGACACAAACCTTTTCTCCAAACTGAGGCGTGTTCCACGAGTGAATAGATCACTTTTACAATTCAAATGAAGTCTTGAGTCTGATGTGAGCTCCTCTCCCCTTTTCCAGTAAGGACATGGGTCCCGGTCTACTGGGCTCTCTGACGTTGTCGTCCAGCTCCCCTTCGCCCGCCTCCTTCAGCGAGGCGAAAACCGTGAGCCTGCTGAACGGGCCGCTGTCCTACTCTCAGTCATCTGATAGCATCAAGGTGAGAACGCTCGTCATCCTTTCACCACTTCCCTCAACCACACCGGGACGCAGGTCCACGTCAGACAGCCTTTACATCAGCTTGCTTTTGCTTTTGTAAAAATTAACTTTAAAAACAAACCAAATTTGCAAATCTGCCGCTCATAATCAAGTTTGGAAGTCTTCCTTAAATGTGCGACCGGGGGGGGGGGGGGGGGGGGGGTGTAAACAAAACAAACAAATCACCTTCGTCCATCTTGACTGCTTCAAGTGTGGGTCTCTTTTCTGTCCTCATCCGACCCAGGAGCCTCTGAGCAGCCTCAAGTCCATGGCCGAGCAAGCAGCACTCACCTCAGGGATCGAGGGAGACGTGGCCTCCCTGCACCTTACTTCAGGTAGGAGACACGCCCACTGCCTACCTGGAGGGAGAGACCGCCACAGACTCTGACTTTGCTCTGTCCTCTTTTCAGACATCTTCCCCAGCAGCACTACGGCCTCATCAGGCCCCCCATCAGCACCTCAGCCCTCGCTGTCAGAGGTCAGCATCCTCCTGTCCCTGGGGGTGTGTCCGCTGGGGCCAGTTCCCCTTTCCAAAGACCAGCTCTACCAACAGGCCATGCAGGAGGCAGTGTGGACGCACATGCCTCACCCGTCTGACTCCGAGAGGATCAGGTGCAGCAAACTTACAAACCTTATTCATTTAAAAACAACAAGTTTAGTAAATCTGCTTCCCTAAAAGCGAACATAAGAGATGCTTTTATTTTTCTAAGCTGCACGTGACATTTATTCTATAAATAAAAGAAATTTTCACCTAAAATGTACGTTTTTATGCCTTTAATTCCTTTTTACTTTACATTTGAACTATTTTAGGGGATTGTGGTTAAAATCTTAACAAACGGGTGGAGAGAACGTCTCGTCACCTCTGTGCTTTTGTCTCTTCACATTCCAGGCAGTACCTTATGAGGAACCCGAGCCCCACCCCACCTTTCCACCACCAGGTGCCACCACCCCACTCAGACACTGTAGAATTTTACCAGAGGCTTTCCACGGAGACCCTGTTCTTCATTTTTTACTACCTGGAGGTAACGCAGCATCATGTGATGTACTGACCTGCAACAGAGGGTTTTAAAAGTCTGCAACCAGAGCCAAATGACGGATAAATCACTCTGCCCTCTGTCCTGCAGGGCACTAAGGCCCAGTATCTGGCAGCCAAAGCCCTGAAGAAGCAGTCCTGGAGGTTTCACACTAAATACATGATGTGGTTCCAGAGGCACGAAGAGCCCAAGACCATCACCGATGAGTTCGAGCAGGTGGGTGTGGTTTGACTTCAGCCGTGGAAGGCGTTCCCGTTTCATCTAAATGCTTCCTTTCCTTTAGGGAACGTACATTTACTTCGACTATGAGAAGTGGGGCCAGAGGAAGAAGGAGGGCTTCACGTTTGAGTATCGGTACCTGGAGGACCGGGACCTCCAGTGACTTGCACACAGACGGACGGAGCTTAGGAACAGACCGATGAACAAATGAAGACGAGAGATCCGCCTGCTGACATTCCTGGACTTGAGCTCAATCCCTCTAGAGGAAGAAGACCGGAGTGTCGGAGTGGGAGTAACTGACTTCCCTGGAAACCCCGCCTTACCTTCCACAGCTCAGCATCGACATCTCCATCTCCTCCATCATCACTTCCTGTTTTTATTTTTTATTTTTTACGTCCTTTATTGTCAACCAGACACAAAACCACACCGAATAACCAGTCGATTCCGCGTCTCCCACCCGGGTTTTCCCTTTTTCTATTATTTGCGATTCCAGCTCCTTCGGGACCAAAGAGCTTTGGTGAATCCGCGTTTCGGGCATGCCGTTATTATGAAGGTAAATAAGTTTTAAAAATGTGGTTTTTTTCCACACAAATACTTTCTATTTCCCTTCGTATTAAACAGCAGGACAGGAAACCAGAAATGAACAGGAAACAAAAGCCGAACACAGAAACGGTACACACATGTCTAATGTTGTGAATCTGGCCTGATTCCTTCTGTCATTGAGCAGAATTTCATCTCCAAAATGTTCCGGAGTCATGCTAACCGACGTGTGGACGTCACACGTACTTAAAACTTCTGTCTGGTACATTTCACCTTTTCTCAGATCAGAAACAGTAGCTGAATGAGAATCTGTCATCCTGTCCTGCTGCGGCGGCGTTGAGAGTTAGCTCTCGCCTCCACCTCCCCGTTAACACTACCACCAGCTCAGTATGAGTACATGTTTGTTGTAGGTGGCGCCGCTTGCTCCTACCTGTCTTTCAGTGGTCCTGTGGTAAAATTCATGTTGCAATTCCAACGGATCTAAAAATGTCCCGCCCCGCCTACTCCCATCGAGCTGCGGCGGAGGAGCGTGACAACCAGCCAGCTGACTTTTTACCTTCTGGGCAGCGTTATGTCACAATTTTCAACCTGTTTTACAGAAATAGGTTCAAACTTTTGCTTTTTTTTGTGTGTGTCTGTTCGGATCTAGTCGTGTGGGACGTTTTAGTGGTGCTTTGAGGTATTTCTGCCCCATCCCAACATGGTGGAGGTGAATGAAACGTATTACTCATCAGGATCAGGATGCTGTTGTAAAAAGCAGCATGCTAGTCCACAGGTGCTGCTCTCGATGCTCTGATCTCCTCTGCCGTGTTAGGTTAAAGGTAGAAGTACGGTGGCTGAGAAGGCTCAGGAGGATTGCAAAGATGCACCAAAAACAAGCAAATGAACCCAGTTTGCTGCAACTTCCCACGGCGCGTACCAATCCGAAACACCATTTTGTTATTTGTTGCATTTATTTCTCCAAAATTATTGTCCTGAACTTGTTTTATTGTTGAGTTAAATCATCGAATCCTGATTCTTAAATGCATCGGTGCTAAGATTTAAACATTTCTAAGAAAAATAAATGAAAGTTATCAGATTTAACAAAAGCTTATTAAAAGCTGCTTTTTGTCCAGTTGGATCAAAAGTATGGTCATCAGGATCAGACTTCCTGGAGTGGATTTGTGTGGTTAAGCAACATCAGTGCATTTCTTTGTTGTGGTGTTTTGCAGCGCCGGTGATTGTTTGTGTCTCAGCTCTTGAGTTGCAGATCAGCTGGCAGATGCGGGGCGTTATTTTGGTTTATCTCGTTCAGATAACTTTTTTACCACCTTAGTGGCCAAACGGCTCACGTCTGATGGAAGAGAGAGAAAAATAAATAAAACAGCTACTTTATGAAAACCTCGCGGCTCAAACTGCGGATACAGAACTCGTTTTCCCGACTAGATCCAGCTCTAACGTGCAGAAAGCTCCTGGAGTGATGAGTGCGAGCGTCGTCGGTGTTGGATGCTGGACGGACTGCCAGCCTACCTTCCTTCCTCCCTTCACTCCTCCTCCTCCTCCTCTTGGTGCCGAAGAGCACAACACCAGCACAGCTGCCCACTCCTCTTCCATCCTCCAGCTTTCATGTTTACACTGAAGGATTCAACCAGCCCCCCCACACACACATACACACACACACACCTAACAGCCGAACGCATCTGAAACGATTCCCTCTTCCGCTCCTCCCATCCCAGCCACACCGCCATCCTTCCTTTTTCTCTTCACACCAGGTAGAAATTTCCTTTATTTCTCAGGAAGCATTCGATTTATCATTTTTACGAGGAAATGTGTCCGCCAGCAGCTCCCGTCACCACAGCACAACAAGCGAGTAACTCGTACCACCATTTTAACTCTTGGTCTCTTTTGGAAAAAGTTCCTTTTTCTTTATATGACAGCGACTCTTTTCATTTCAAAACAGCTTTTTTTTTTTGAGAAAAAATATAAATATCCTCCAATGTTTGGAGTAGCTGCTGGAAAAGAGACCATCTTTATATTTTCTATTTGTTGTGGTTGATTGTATATTCCTTATTTTTGTTTGTTCCCAGAAAAATCGTTTTAAATCCCAGAGGAGAACAAGGATCTGCTCTTTTTAAACATCCCGAGTTTGAGGTGTTTTTATAGCCAAACACAGACGCGACAACTCCACGTGTATTCACTTGACTGACAGTCTTGCTTTGAACGTTTTTGTTTACTTATTTTTGACATGCGAGCGGGACGAGAGGTCGACCAGAGGGCCGAAACGTGAATCTCTCCCCACTCCTTGTCAGAAGTGTTGCATAGACTCTCAATCTTTAAAACCTCTCCTTTTTACTTTTTTGTTTTGTTTTATTTTTCTGTTTGCTGTTGTCGTCGGACATCATGGAATAATAACACTTGCAAAGTGGCGCTGAGAAAAAGTAAAAGATGACATAACCGTGATTAAAGGATTGTAAAATATTAATAAAAGAGTTACTTTTCAGAAAACAGTGGTTGTCTTGTGGTTTGTGGTTACTTTTTGTACATCTTAAATGCGTTTTTTTCTTCTCATTTATTTAATTCAATAAAAAGATACAACAAATAAATAAACAATATGCATATAAACACAACTTGGATGAAAGGGAGCAGATGGAAGAAAAAGTATTAGTCACGCTAATATTGAGAAATACAAATATTAATATTTAGTAAGCAGATAAATGCTTAACTACACGTAACTAATTGTCAAAATAACAATTACACCTATAACTATAGACATGTACAAATATATCTGAATGAGTTTTTAGGAAAAGTTATGTTACAAATATTTTTTACCAATTTAAGTGGTCCTACCAAGACCATATTTGGCCGTGGACACTGCGTTACCGTCAGACCAATTTTTACTGGATGCTATACACGTAACTAATTGTCAAAATAGCAATAATACGTGCTTTATTGGGGGTCTGGGGTCTCAGAACCGGTCAGTATCTGGTGTGACCACCATTTGCCTCATGCAGCGCAACACATCTTCGCATAGAGTTTATCAGATTGTCAGTTGTGGCCTGTGGAATGTTGGTCCACTCCTCTTCAATGGCTGTGCGAAGTTGTTGGACATTAGTGGGAACTGGTACACGCTGTCGTATACGCCGGTCAAGCACATCCCAAACATGCTCAACGGGTGACATGTCCAGTGAGTATGCTGGCCATGCAAGAACTGGGACATTTTCAGCTTCCAAGAATTGTGTACAGATCCTTGCAACATGGGGCCGTGCATTATCTTGCTGAAACATGAGGTGATGTTCATGGATGTACGGCACAACAACGGGCCTCAGGATCTCATCACGGTATCTCTTTGCATTCAAAATGCCATCAAAAAATGCACCTGTGTTCTTTGTCCATAACAGATGCCTGCCCATACCATAACCCCACCACCACCATGGACCACTCGATCCACAACACTGACATCAGCAAAGCGCTCACCCACACGACCCCACACACTCTGTCTGCTATGTGCCCTGAACAATGTAAACCAAGATTCATCCGTGAAGAGAACACCTCTCCAGCGTGCCAGACACCATCGAATGTGAGCATTTGCCCACTCAAGTCTGTTACGGCGACGAGCTGGAGTCAGGTCAAGACCCCGATGAGCACGACGAGCATGCAGTTGAGCTTCACTGAGACGGTTTCGGACAGTTTGTGCAGAAATTGTTTGGTTATGCAAACCAACTGTTTCAGCAGCTGTCTGAGTGGCTGGTCTCAGACGATCTTGGAGGTGAACCTGCTGGATGTGGAGGCCCTGGGCTGGTGTGGTTACACGTCATCTGCGGTTGTGAGGCCGGTTGGATGTACTGCCATCAATGCACGAGCAACAGATCTGGTTGTCATTCCTGCTGTCAGCATGCCGATTGCATGCTCCCTCAATGCTTGTGGCATCTGTGGCATTTTGCTGTGAGGCAAAACTGCACATTCCAGGGTGGCCTTTTATTGTGGGCAGTATAAGGTACACCTGTGCACTACTCATGATGTCGGATCAGCATCTTGAGGTGGGATGGATTAACTCAGGAAAGCAGAAGTGCTCACTATCACACATTTAGACTGATTTGTGAACAATGTTTGAGAGAAATGGTAATATTGTGTATCTGGAATGAATTTGAGATCTTTAAGTCCATCTCATGAAAAATCAGAGCAGAAACAAAGGTGTTCCGTTTATAATTTTTTGAGTGTGTGTATATATATATACAATAATAATTGTAACTGTAGAAGTACGAAATGGAGGTGTTTCTTCCAGCTGCATCATAGAAGCGGCGAGGGCATTAAAGTGCAATACTTTTTTCCGACTGTAGGTGGTGCTTTCTGAGAATTTCTGCTTTAATGACACAAATTTCACATACCACGCACATGTTATACATCAAACTCTTTAGCTACTTCCCCTCTCACTGAAAATGTCTAAATATGAAAGACCCGATGATTAGTTTTTTTTAAATATTCTCGTGTGTTTCGCAATACTTGCAATATATTCTGTGCCTTTTGCATTCCTGAACCAGCTTTGAACTTTTAGGTAGATGTGTATTTACGTGTGCTTAATGACATCATCAAATTGCATCATAGGTGCTTTTAGCCCCATTTTTGCGTTCTTAATACCTGACCACACCCCCCAACAGCAGAGGGACGCTCTACAACAAAAATTATTTAGTTTTTCATTCTTATTATGAGGGGGAACCGCACATACAGTACAGGCCAAAAGTTTGGACACACCTTCTCATTCAATGTGTTTTCTTTCTTTTCATGACCATGACCATTTACTTTGATAGATTCTCACTGAAGGCATCAAAACTATGAAAGAACACATGTGGAGTTATGTACTTAACCCAAAAAGGGGAAATAACTGAAAACATGTTTTATATTTTAATTTCTTCTAAAAAGCCACCTGTAATGAAATGAAATGACTGTTTTCCACCAAAAAGTCGTTCCCTCCCCCTCTCCTCAGCAAGAACTAATCTGCATGAGATATTGTTCAAGGTCTCATGCATCTGCTTCTAAACTGTTTTCCTTTCCAGCCCAAGAGAAGAATGAAGACAAAGGACTCTTTCTTTTTAATAAATCATAGAACTCTATTTTTAATTAGCTAATCAAACAAAGTGTTAGTCAATAATAAAATGTGAACCAATTTGTGAAATTAAAATATTAATTACTTGATATTATAATCCTACAGAAAATAATAAGTACTGTAACTTTAAATGTTTCCACTAGAGACTGATCACACGTAAGGTTAAGGCACATCACACATTGCTTTACTGATCCAATCAGAATCTGCCAGATCTGACGGAGGCGTTGTTTTGGTGGTGCTTGGTAAATCTGTCATCTTTTCATTCGACCGTAAACCAAAACATCTGCATTATAAAACTATGCCCACGTCATCTTTAACGCCAGTTCAAAGTGTTCTAGAGAAGTTGTTGGAGTGGCCAATCCATAACTTTCCTCTTCAGCCGAAAGAACCAACGACAAGCTGGATAAAATCTGTTGCTGTTCCAACTGCTGCAACGGTTCCTTTCAGAATAAAAGCTGAACCATCATGACCCCGTTTTGGGTCTCGCTAGATGCCAACAAAACTGTTGTGACCCAGAAGTATCTCAAGACTGGTCTGGTCGGCAACCGCTGCTTTTCCTACCGGCTTCGGTTCCAGAGAGGGTCAAGCTGGACCTCGACATTCCTGATCTAACGGGGACTTCCAGAAGGGCATGTAGGCCGACGAAATGGCGTCTCAGTGTGTGTTATGAATCTCCAAATCAAAGCTTAGCGCGAAGACATCACCTTCACTCCCACCAGAACTAATCATTTCTCCGGATTTGCTGGTTCTGAACAACATTCCACACTACACCATTCTCCATCTCAATTCACCCTAGTTACACCATACATTTAGTGTTAAAGTTAGTCTAGTTTTAATTTGTTTAGTAATAAATCTTTAAACTTTTAAAACTTGACTCTCTTTCTTTTGTCTCTGAGTTAATACGAAGTGGTTACATAATCCCTGCAATAAAAAGTTCCAATCTTCAGGTTAAAAGTACTCAAAGATCCATAAGATTGATTTCATATTTATTACGGAATCTCATGTCTTATGGTTCATTAAATAATATGTATATTAAATTCTTACTCACCCTTTGCTCTGATTACCGCTTTGCACACTCTTGAAATGGTTTTCCAACCATCTTGAAGGAGTTCCCAGAGGTGTTTAGCACTTGTTGGCCTCTTTGTAAATGGTTGTGGTCGTGAAAATGAAGAAAACACAATTAATGAGAAGGTGTGTCCAGACTTTTGGCCTGTGCTGTACATCTGTATCGTTTAAATTGGATATCGGCAACAAAAGCTGATACTAAACATCCCTTATTAGAAGTGAACAGTGAGTTCTTGAGTCGGATTATTCGGAGAGTACAAACACTTCAAACAATCTGAGAACTCATGAGCTAAAGATGCTCTAAGAAACCCTAATATATTGCTTGTGTTTTCTTTACCTTTTTGATGTTGGTTGAGCTAACGGACACCACCACAGAGGCTCCGTAGCAGCTGTATTCCTCCACCTGTCACTTCTCTAGAATGTTACAGCACGTTAAATTCATGCGAGAAAGCTGTTGAACCTTATTATTCGTCTCCAAATTGTGATTCAGTAAGGAAACAATAAAGATTTAATAACTCACTGAGGTTAATTTTAGTTTCCTGCAAAATAAAAGCATCAGCAGCACTGCTTTTTTGATGCTAGAATCTTTTAATTCATGCATTTCATGACATATTTGTCTGTTTTCTGCAGCCAGAGGCAGGAATTTAATCTGCATCTCATTTACATTAACATTTCCTAACAGCTTAGATGCTAGCCTAGAATCTGGACCGCCATTATCCAAAGCCATCCTACATATTCACATAGGATGTGGCATATTTTCTTGTTTTTTTTTTTTTGTTTGTTTGTTTTTTTTTTTTGTTCTAATACAGCATTTGTATAATAAAAGCATTTTCCATTTACGTCTCTTGTTGGTGTTTTTAATACTATTTTGCTCTCTCTTTTCCACAGGTTTGATGGATGCAGGCATGACAGATACATACATTAAATATTTAGTTACTGTCTACTGAAGATGGAGCTGCTGCAGCATTTTGATGCCTCCTGTGCTGCATCTTGCATCAATGCGTTTTGGTGTTGAGTTACTTTTTCCAAACCTCAAACACCTGCTGTTTCATTTGACCTAATGCTTTTGATTAAATCAATTTCCTAAAACCAAATCATCATGATGCAAGTTGCAGACTTCGTGGAGAAAAACAATTTAACTTAAGATAAAAGTCAGCAGAGACTGGAAAACCTGTTGAAACAGCAGATTTATTGAAAAAACGAGTGTAGGATTCCTTTAGAGAGTAAAATTTTGGAAAAACGTGCAACTTTACTGAAGAGAACTTTGTTTAAAAAGGATTTCTATTAGCCAAGAGTAAAAAGCTGCACTCTGTTATTTTTCAGTCAGTGTAATAAATAA